TGCAATTAGCGAGCACGCGCATACGCGCCGGAGCGCAAGGTGACCTCCGCTTCACGTCGGTCGTGAACCGAAGTGACTCGCGTGATGGTCGTCTGTCCGTCCGCCACGCACCGAATGCAAGCGGGACCATTTGCGGCGACCCGACACGTTAGCGGAACGTACCTGCTTTGGCCGCTTCCTTCAGCTTCTCGGCGTACTTCAGGACACCCGCCAGAGGCGTCCTTTGGTCGTCGGCGTAGGCCGTGAGCAGCATCGACGGGTAACGCTAAAGGAGGGTCCGGAAAGGAGGAGCCGCATTAAAACGCCTCCCCTTCAAAATCGAGTGAACCCGTTCGTCTGCTGTGGGGCATTCCTTTCAGAATGGTGAAAATTCTCCAAATTGAGTCTCCAGAATGTGTGTGTGTTTTTTTTTTAAACGATCTTGTTTTATCCCCGCCACACGCTTAAAACGTGCAGCTAATGAAACCACTTTTTAAAACGCACACGGTCGATGTGAACGCAAACGTATTGCCAAAACTGCAAGTCGTGCGTCTGCGCCCAAAAAGAAAACGAAAAAGCTGTGACAAAAACGAATCAAAACGATGTGAATTTCAAAAACAAAAATGACAAAAAAACCATGACAACTCTGACAAATCTGGGTACACGCAAGTGCCAAGAGAAGCAAAAAACAAAACAAAAAAAGACAGTGGCGCATGAGTTCAATGACTGAGGAGAAAAAAAAAAGGAAGATCAGCTCTCTCTGTATGCCTAACGAGATGTTTTTTTTTTTTAATGAAAAAAAAAACCACCGTTCCTGAAAAGTAACAAGCACTGGGATGCAGGAGACACGCCCAATGATCCATTGCGGTCGGCGCACTCGTGGCCACCCCCCCCGGAGCCTCGCGCTCTCCATTCTCGTGGCCTCTGACTAAGGGAGCTTGATGGAAACGACGACAGCAAAGCCACCCCCCATGTGAAATTTGCAACTCGACTCATTTTTGGCCTCTTTTGTTTTCCCTTATCGACCGACTGTACATTCCAAGGGAAAAAAAAAAAACAAAAAAAGGTCAACTTCAAAGCAAGAAATTGATGGGAGGGCTAAGCCGTGCGCTTCTTTACCTGAGAAGTAATGTTGCAAACTGGGCAATAGGAGGCGATGGTGAGCCTGTGTTGCGGGTTATCGACTGATTGTACATTCCAAGGAAAATAACCCCAAAAAAAGTCAACTTCAAAGCGCTAAGCCATGCGCTTCTTTACCTGAGAAGTAATGTTGCAAACTGGGCAATAGGAGGCGATGGTGAGCCTGTGTTGCGGGTTTCCCAGGGGGTCCCCCCACTCCTCCCTGTCCTCCAGCGTCAGGGGCAGTTTGGGGTCCTCCATTGTTGCCAGCACATCCAGGAAAGGACTCTGTCAAAACGGTGGGAAAACACCAGCGTGTTAAAAGGACTCCTCTGCATTTGCGCCCCGCCCTACAGCAGATTTTTCAGTGCTCATTTTTTTACAAAGTGTGTTTACAGACCCCCCCCCCACCCCACAACGCGTACCTGTAGCGTGACCGCCCGCATCATATCCGGGCGTCCGTTGCACAGCGCCCCCACCGGCACGGCTCCGGCGCTGCGGGCGGTGAGGACGGTCCTCCTTGGGCTGGAGACCCCCGAGGCGAAGAGGTGAGCGAGGCAGGCTTGAAGGTCTTCCACGCTCCTGCGCTTCCCCTCGACCCGAGCTTGTCTCTGCCACGCCAGCCCGCGCTCTCCTCCCCCTCTACGCAACGTGGAAGCGCCATAGAAAAAAAACAAAGATAAACGCTTCGATCGGGCGGCCGGCGACGGCGGCGGCGGATGCTACCTGATATGGCAGTAGGCCAGAGCCCAGCCCTGCTCCAGCAGAAACCTTTTCTCCGGGCGGAAGCGCATGTCGACGTCCCGGCCGTAAGCTCCGTAGACGTGTACCAGCAGAGGAGTGTCTTTTGTACACGGCCCGCCGTGAAGCAGCGTCACCGGCACCGAGGTTCCGTCCTACGGCGGGGATGCGATTCTCGGCATTTCACGCCACATTGTCAATGCGACCTGACCTCAGTCACGTCAACGTGTCGATTCCAACTTGGGTGAAATGTGCCCTGCTGCTGATGAACGTTTGAGTGTTGGCACCTGGCTGCGGGCCTTCAAGCGCGCGGTGATAGCCTCCCGGGCCCGGTTGGTTGGAGAGGGAGCGGGCCTGCCTCCCGCGCCCGGTGAAAGGAGGCCTTCCTCGAGGCGAAGACGGTAAGACACCGGGGGACGAACCGGAGAGGAGATCAGGAACTCCATTGTGCCGCGTGGCTCCGCAAAGCCCGGATGCTGGCTTTCGACCGCGCACGCCCAGGAGGGCAGCTTCAAGCGTAACAGTCGGTCAGTCGGGGGAGTGAGCGGACTACGGTCACAAACGTTTTGTTTTTTTTTAATTTACCTGCAGAGTATAGGCCGCCCTCGGTCGGGAGAGCGGAACGACAATCAGCTCCAGCTCATTGCTCGTCGTCGCGGCAACCAATACGCAGTGGTCCCCCACGACGTCCATGTCTTTGAGCGCGGTGCCGGGACGCGGGGTGAAGATGGCATCCCATGACATCATGGAGGGCTCGGAGATGGGGGCCTTCGCCACCTGAATGGGGGTTTTGGTTTTTTTTTTCTTCAGACAGAAGCCGCCTACTGCCCCCCGAGACAGCCCCCGGCACGGGCTCCGGCGCGCCCCCCGCGCCCCTCGTGAGGAGAAGCGGCTCCGAAAATGGACGGAGGGATGCTCGTGTGGAGTCTCTCTCTACCTGATATTCCCGTCCGGGCCCCGTGTTGGCGAGGATGATCACGTTGCGCCTCCAGTGTTCCACGTAGTACAACAGCTGCGGCTGGCGCACCTGAACCAGGACGGGTTCCAGACGGGGGTCGGAGACGTCCACGAGCAACGCCTCGGAGCTGCTCCTGCCGCTGCAGGTGATGCTCAGCACGTGGCCGTCTCTTGAGCGAGACACCTCCACGAAAATACTGAGGCGGGGAAATTAAAGGGGGGTCGGGCACATTTGGCATCCTGTATCGTGACTTTCGGATCAACATTTTTGTAAGTGTGCCACAGCGTGAAGTCGTCTGTATCCAGGTTGTCGAACGGCGTAAAGCGACCCACAACGGCCTTCATGGCTAAATCGCTGGCAACAAACATGAGTGCACCTCAAAATGAAATTGTCCAAAATTTGCGTGGAATTGACGCTTCTCTGAAAATGACTCTGAATGCCACAAGATGGTGTCAAAGCACTACTTTTCTATTCTGGCTATGGCATGGCGAAAATCAAGTTCCTCCCCTCCCTTCAACATAGTTCCTTGGCGCCAAAGAACTCATTTTCATTGACAGGGCTTCGGCCTGAGCTCTAAAACAATAATGGACGATCGGTTCAAAAAAGAAAAGTGCGAATAGTTGAATGTACGACTAACACCGGGATGAATTTTTTTTTTTTTCTTGATACTCACTCCGGCTGCGATTCCTCATACACGGAGCGTATCGTGCTTCCGTTTTGCGTGAGGTCCAGACGGTATACGTTGCGGCATTTCAGACCTTCCCGGGTGGTGTAAAACAACACGTCGTCTGTGGCCCACTCTTCCAAGACACAAACATCAGGTCAGACGTTCGCCGCCATCGTTGGACTTATCCAAGCCGCTTTAAGAGTGTTTTCAAAATGTACCGAAGCTAACGACGTTGTCCAGCGTGAGTCCGCGTCTTCGGCCCAGCTTCACCACCACGCACCTGCGTTTGGATGTCACGTGACCTCACGCGTTCATTGGAACGAAAGAGACAAATGTGTCGGGATTCTCTTCTCCGGTACTGACCTTGTTGTTTCTGCGCTCCACGTCTTCAGAGTGGCGGCGAGATGCTTCTCCTGAGGGGAAAGGCGTATTCTCTGCACGGTCCACGCTTGCGTCTCCTCGCCCGTCGCGACGCATCCCAGGTCGAGAACCGGCTCTGGTTCCGACTCGCCTGTGAGCAAAATGCTGGTTTTATCCCCAACAGACACGGAATGCTACGGCCATTTCAGATCAGCGAGCAAAATAAAATGAGAGAAGCCAATCCAAAATATTCAACAACAATAGCAAGGCATTAGACAGAAACAATATACAAATATTACAAGGTGACTTAATTTTGCGGAATTGTGCATCAATTGGCGACAACTGCAAAATGACGTCAAAATAAACATCGTTGCTTACGTTTCGCCTTTTCCATTCTGTAGATGCCGTTACCTTCCACAAAGTAAACATGGTGACGACCGTACACCTGCGTCAGGAAAGATCGAATCCAACGTGCAATATCTTAAGACACTTGGAGACATTCAAGCGGGGTCGCAATCCACTTCCACAAGGATTAATTACCACTGAGTGGTCAGGTACGTCTGAGAACCTGCCGTACGTTGCCTTCAGGTGTCTCTTGAAACACGCCTTCAAGTCCTTGTACCGCTCAAGGTCGCGACTGAAACGGTCCGAGGGTATTTCCTGAAAAGTGAAAACTATTTCAACACTTCCAAAGAGAACCACTTCGGACTTTTCCGGTTTCAGAGCGGGCCGAAACGAAGCATCCAAGTTTTTGGCCACACTTACTTTCGTGTAGTAACGACAACGGAGACGCTTCGTGACAAAAACATCCCGAAAACGGGAGCGAAATGTCACAGAACGTGCAGCTAAACGGAATGCGGCGACAACAGCCATTAGATTGCTTTACATTTCACGCGCCGTCTCGAAGGAAGTTTATCGCCGGCCGCGCTTCCCTAAACAAAGGCGGCGGCGAATGACGTGTACAAAAAGTTCAGACTTAACTAATCGATACCAGAGTTGACCGGTGGCCTGTTTCCTCCTTGAAATCGAGCTCGACCGCTCTGAACACTACTCATATGTCTCAAGTGTCCAAAGTGTACGGAAGCGGTGTGAGGTTGTGAATCTTGGACAAGTCACGCCAGTGCAGCCCGTCGTATTCGCGTCGGTGTACAAAAAAAAAGAAAGAAAATCACTTCGCCGCTGCCTTCGCCCGACAATTTCACACGTTTATCTGGACACGTTCCAACAGCGCTTTGAGAGGAGAAACATGAACGAGGGCGCGTCTTGTGCCGCTAATTCCCAAACGTCTCACGATGGCGTTAAGACAGATGTCGCCCGAGCCAGGTGGAGCCTTCTCAGACAGGTAACCGCACCCTTTCAAAATGTATAAACGCTGCCAAAACCATAACCAAAAGGTGTGTTATTGGAGCTGAGTGGAACCGAAGGAGGACTTGCATGATAGATTCGTGATCCCTTTGAGCCGCCGTATTGGTTTTCCTGCTTAAGCGTGACATTCTTTGATGATTTACCTTTTATACAATCGAAAACAATTCCCCGGTTCGTCCATGATACCTCAAGGATAAAGAATGGTTTCAATTGTTCAATTGACTTGTTGATGAAATGAGCCTGTTTGGATTGGGCGGCCCTGTCCGATGAAGACAAGCCTGCCCTCATCCGACTCCACATGACGACGGGCCAAATCAACTGCGGGCGCAATGGCTGCACTGAGAGCCCCTCATGGGGGCTGAGACCTGAGATGCACACGCGAGCGAGCCCCTTTAATACAACTTGGTTTCCGTTTGCCCTCGTGGAGGCAGCATTTCATCATCAAGTCGGCAAATCACCCTTTCCAATTAGTACGCGGACCCGATGAGCGGAAGTAGTCGTACCTAAACCGGGCCGGTGACTTAACCCGGTTTGTCAAAAGCAATCTGCGCATCTGCCAAAGCTCAATGCAGCTCTGCTTATCCTTTGATTTTCATGTAGTCCCTGACCCACCCCACCAGGTCCAGATTAGAAATAAGTTGGGCTTGAGCATTATTTTCCAAGAGGATGCGCTTATTTTTTGGCAATGAGAAATGTTTTTATTGCAGTCATTTCTGTGAAGGTTGATGCAAGTGAAGACATAAAGTATGACATAAAGCAAATCTCAGAATAGGAAAAAGCAAAACTTTTGCATTTTCCTTCAGTGACGGGCGAGCAAATCGATTCAAGTTGGATTTTTGAGGGGGAAAACAATTCTACGTATGTCTGCCATTCAGACACCGAGCCCTATGTTGGATATTATTGTCGCTTTGTTTGCTTTCAATGTCTTCTCAAAGTTATTGCTGCTTCGATATCAATGGCGGCTTTCCTTCTCTACTCGGCTAAGCCGACATACTCGCGCGATTCACTTTTTCCTCCCCCTTCTCAGGTTTTGCGCGGGAAGCGGGCGGACAACCCGGAGGTCAAACAGGCATCCGTCCGCAGGTTCGCCACCTTTGAGCTCTTCGGCAGGACGAGGCCCGCGTCCCACGATTCCTCGGAAGAGCAATGGGTGGAATACAGAAGTGTTTTCTCTCCCGATTACAGCGCCTTTCTCAGGTAGGCGCTCTTGAGTCGATGTCGGCGTACGTCGCAATTGGAACGTGAGCGCGCTGTAATTCGATTCGATATTTTAGGGACAACCCGGGTCCGCTCCGAGTTAGCGAAGTGCTCAACAGCTTCGACAACACCGGCAATGTCTGTGAGTACCCTTTGACTTCCTCACTCGCCCGTGCGTCTTGCGTTGTGATGTGCCATTGTCCAAAACGTTAAACGAGCCTCATGCTGTGTTCGGCTGAGCAAATGATTGACGCTTTGATGTTGTTTGCCGTATCATGCGCTGCCCTTAAAATGCCCTTCGCGTGGAAGTGCACAGCAGTTGGCTCTGATCGGTTGACTGTTCAATGACTTTGAAGGAAACGGGAGAGAGAGCGCGATTTTTGTCGGGGGCTTCTGCTTTTGCACTCCTAAGAAAGTCACTTTTGATTGGAGTGATTAGAATTCTGCTCATTATTATTGTGTGACAGTGTTGTTAATACTCGCGGTGACTACTGCTCTCGTGTGGCGGATGCGCCATCCGGGGGTGTCAGACATATGGCCCGCGGGCCGGAACGGGCTCATCAAGTGATGCCATCTGATTTGGTATATGCCCACAGAGTTTGAGCATATCCAAGGGACAGTATAGCCATTTAGAAACTTTCAGTGTTTGTTCATTAGAAAAAGCCAAAACAGTAATCCTTCGGTTTTCCCGGATAATTGATAGTGGTGCTGAGTAAAAAGATGGCTGCCGTGGAAGTGGGGTTGACTCTCCGTCGCGTCCGTCAAATAAGTCCTTTCAAGGTTCACTTTGGTCACGTTCCACTCGACGTCGCGCGCTCTTGACGCGGAAGCCCAAGTTGGCCGCTCGGACTCGCCTTACTTGCGATCCGTTCATCAAGAGCCTCCTTCTGTGCCCAACCGTGCTTGAAAGGCAAGCCATGTCAAAGATGAGAGGTTCGCGTTAACCAGCCAGATGGCACCGCGGGAGTCTGGGTCAAAGGTGAAGGCCGCGGCTCGAGGCCACTTCCCCCCGTCGCGGCGGCCGCCCTCGCTTACACGCATACACTCGGCCAGGGAGACGATAGCATCCAATAAAAAGACGAAGGTCCTCATCGTGCCTCAGTTGATGATGATGATGATGATGATGATGCCACTTCTTACAGTGTGCGTCCGCTTTCAGTCTTCCCCCGTGTTTCGGCTTCCTCCCAGCTGGAGGCACGCTTGGCCAGATGGGGAAGTGAGTTCCCGACTCAACTGGTGGATTAGCGCAGCCGGAGATGAGAGTATCTGTCGAGCAGGGGAGAGGAAGCCTGCGGGCGGGGCGGGGGCCACGCCGGACGGCCATTGGCCCGTCTTTCTTGAACTCTGCATGGTTGCGCCATTATGGCGAGGTCATTTACAGATCATCTTAGGAAAACAAACTTTCTTGAGAGCACGCCGAGAGAAGAACACTTTGCATTCAAGGCAATGGACGAGTCGGAAGAGTCCCGAAAACCGCACCTCTAAAACTCGGGGAGCAACGCTCCTTGGAAAGACGGCAAACAATGAGACCCCGACATCAGTTGGACTGATTGTGAGTAAAGTGGGTGGAAAAATATGCAACTGCTGCTTACCTGGGCGCCGGCGCGGTGGAAAAGGGGCCGTGTCTGCGTGTCTGTCCTGACAGAACTCACAACCCCCACCCCCCACCCCCCCCCACCCCAAAAAGAAAAGTCTTGTTCCCGTAATGGAAGATTTCCTTTTGAAGCAGCCATTCCAGGCAAATTCCGTGGCCTCGTACTTTGTTTCACTCCTTCTTGGGAATTCACCCAAATGATAACGCACCTGGACATAAGGGCGGCGCTCCACCGCAAAAGATTTTTTTTTCCTCCAACGCTGTACAAGAGGTCAGCCTTTTAATTTTCAAGGCGCCATCGCCGGTAATTTCCAGGCACTTGTATTTTGCGCAACTCCGATAGGGGCATTCACACAAGCGAGCCATGATCAGAACCAGCACCCCCGAGACCGATCGGTGGCGCTCACACTTGACGAGCTTTTTTTTTTTTTTTTTTTTTTGCTCGCGCCATCTCATATTGGGCGAGTATGTTTGTTTGCCTTTCTGGGGATTATCGGTGAAAAAAACCCGAGAATTGCCCCCACAGGAACGCATCTCGATCAAACTTGCCGCGTATTTCTTGGACGAGCGGCGACGGGGGTCAGGAAAGTTTCTTTTGAAGGTTTGCCATGAGAACGGAAAACCGTCATCGAGAGTCGATTTCTGAAGAAGAGTCAGCCCAAAGAGGGCGGCGACGGGAAGCGGGGCCTTTGTACTGCTATCGACTTGGGCTCGTCAGGTCGCCCGAATGGGCCCCATTCGTCGATTTGACCCGAAATTGCCAAGCTTAGTTGCCGTCTCCATTTCTTGCAAGTGGAACACGGTGAAGCGTTTTTGAGAATTTGCTCCGGAAAAAGCGGCGGCGGGATCCGATCACCGGAAGCGGGGAGCCGTCTCGAAGCAACTCTCCGCCGGCCGCAAGCGCACCGTGGTTCGGACGTCGCTTGCGCCTCGCCGCCCGAGTGCGCAATTGCGCGGAGGAGAGCGAGTTCCTCAGACAATGAGCCGCCCCCCCTCCCCCCGCTCTCCATCCCATGTTTGGGACTAGCAATGCGTGAGATCAATTAGAGCTGGTTGAGAGGAGGCTCTGAAAGGAGCAGAGGTAACCCCGTCACAGCCCCCGGGGGTACGCTTGTGTTTCTGCTGGAAACGGGAGAGGAGCCCTTCCGAGTCCACACGGGGCCACTGACGCGCAAGCCTGCCAATGACACGCCGCCTCCCCCC